AGGCTGAACCAAATACCTCATACATGGTTTGTTGACAGACTGAGACTAGCAACGCACTTGTCTCCCTGCTTTATTCACTCAGTGCAGATGAAATGTTGCTGAACCCTGGGAGAACATTCCTTTCCAGTTCCATGGAAAGCACCTCGCTAAAAATTTTTCAATTGAAAACAGAAAATGAGCCTTTTAATGGCATAGCGTCTGACCCCAGCTTTTAAAAAGCTAAATAAAAGAAACTAACACTTAGCAAAGAAAACAAAATCTTGTATTAAAATACTTAAAAGTCATTTTGATAGAAGAAAAGCATAGGCAAAGAAGACATGATTCCTTCCATTCTTTAATGTTTTCTATTACTTATTAATTCAGGGAGAGTAATTTTGAAAGCAGTGTAAAACAACCACAGAAAGAGAAATAAATAATGAAGAAAAGAAAGAAAGAAAATGTGCAAAACCATAGACTCCAGTAGATGAATGATTCTTAGTTTAAACATATTTTGGATGTACCTGGACCACAGCTGAGATTACCATTGGTAAATCAAATAAAGGAAGCCTCAAAATATTAAACAAAGACATAGATGTGAACACTTTGGTGGCTGTTAAAATGTTTCCTTCATCCAATAAGAAATAGATGCCAAATGTCGCCAGGGACACCTGAAAAATAGAGACATGTTCCTTCCTTCAATTACTCAGTGCTAATGACAGGAAGAGTTAAGGTTCCAAAAATTAGGGGAAAAATTTAAAACCTTTTTTATTGTTGTTTACCAAAATTCAGTACTATTCAGTACGATTGCTGAAGAATAGAAAATAAATGTTCAGTTCACTAAGATATACAGATCATACAATTGTGTATCTTAGACCATGGCATCCTTGAGACCATGCGGTCCAGCTCCCTTCTGTAAGACACTGTGTTCTTACTAGAGTTATTACTCCCATTTAAAATGTATGCTAACTGGGATGCCTCAGTGGCTCAGTTGGTTGGGCATCTGCCTTTGGCTCAGGTCATGATCCCGGGGTCCTGGGATCAGGTCCTGCATCAGGCTCCTCGCTCAGCGGGGAGTCTGCTTCTCCCTCTGCCTTCCGCTTGCCCTGCTTGTGCTCTCTCTCTCTCTGACAAATAAATTTAAAAAGTAAAATAAAATAAAATGTATACTAATTGATCTTTTTTCAAAATGGTTTATTATGTAAATTTATTTTCCAATGGTATGTGTATACATTCTGATTCATATGTAATGATTATACTTTCTGTGAGTCATAAAATTAACTGAAGAAAGTATGAATAAATTATGGCTCATAACATTTATATTTACTCCTGTAACTTGCATTTAGAAATGGCAGAAAAGTTCATGTATGCATGAGAATGTACTGAGTATCATGTACCTAGGACTTACCTTAAGCAAATGCTTCTTGGACATTTTTACCAAAGAATTCCAAATGTAAATATTGCTTTTATTTTCATAATCCCCACATATTTGTTTAAATAAAAAATAACAATATTTTAAATTACCAATAAAAGAGACATATGGAATTTCTCCTGACTCTATGACCACCAGGAATGGTAACTTTGATTAAAACTGATGCTTCAGGGGCACCTGGCTGGCTCAGTTGTTAAGTGTCTACCTTCGGGTCAGGTCATGATCCCAGGGTCCTGGGATCGAGCCCCACATTGGACTCCCTGCTCCGCGGGAAGCCCGCTTCTCCCTCTCCCACTCCCCCTTCTTGTGTTCCCTCTTTCGCTATCTCTCTCTGTCAGAAAATAAATAAAATCTTTAAAAAACCAAAAAAACAAAAAACTGATGCTTCAGTTCTATGTGGTTTCGTTATCCTTTTGCTTTCACTCATTGTTTCATACCTCAAGGCAATTTATACTCTAGTTTAAATAGCATGGTGCTCCTAATGTGTACACGGTAATGATGGAGAATGCCCTCAGTTCCTATCAATTTGCCTCCAAATACTAATTCTATAACTCTGAGGATGTTTCCCAAACTAGAATGGACTTCCATTCCCTATTTGTAAAATGAAAAAAGCAAAGGCCTTATTATTGCAAGAATGAAATAAGGCAATCTCTATAACTTATCTGGCATGCAGGAGAAACACTCAATGAATGTTAATTCTCTTCCCAACTCTATATGGTGTGTGTTGGGTCTTGCTTAATTAAAAGGGATTAATCACACAAATCAAGACATTCTAGAGCTGAAATGAACCTCTGAAATGCAGGTTATATTGTTTAAGAATAGACTAGCACATGTTTGTTCTGTGAGAAATTTACAAAGAAGTAAAATTTTATTATGTGTAAAAAATACAGACCAATGAGAATGCACATATTTTCCCCTTCTTTAAAACTTCCATTCCCTAATCTACATAAGTCAATGACTGCATTTCTTGAAAATTTTATTTCAGATATAGATTTCACTTTGGACACTGCAATTCCAAGTAATTTGGAGGTGAATCTGCAAATCAAATTTGAAAATCAAAACAGGAAATATTATATGCACTCACCAAGAATGGAATGCAAGTTAATGTCAGCATAGAAAATACAGCAAGATACCCAGCTGATTTTTGAACCTCCAATTCCTGCTCTCGAATTTCAATAATCTTCTTTTTATAGGAGGGTTCCCATGTATAAAGTTTGAGGATCTGTAAAGGAATCAGACAATAACTATTTGATAATCATAATCAAAGAAAAAATAAAAACATGCATACATGCAAATATACACAGCATACCCCCACACACAATTGTGAAAGTTAAAAAAAAATATGGTGAACTCATAAAGTGCTCCTATTTTCAGCTGAGTCAAAATGTTTCCTTGAATTGTGGGCTTTTTTTTTTGCGGGGGGTGGGGTAGGTGGCTGGGAGAGGAAGATCACCATCTCTCTCGAGCCTTATGTCCTTCTTACCCACCAATAGCTTATTCTTGAGTCAGACTTTGGCAACATCCCAGCTCTTGGCATGAACTCCATAGCAGTTTCTGTTTAGCTTAATCTTGGTACTTTTCCTGCTGGTCCAACTCTCACTTCAATCCACTCCCCATTTCTTAATAGCTATGCCCCTCTCCCTGGACTCCCAATTTCTTGGAAACTGATGGCATGGGACTAGAAGCCATTTTCGGAAAGGTGACTGGTGTTTTTGAGATTGTAAATTGGGATATATATATATATTCACACACATCCTCTTGGTTCGGTTTCTCTGGAGAACCCTAAAAAATCTCCCACTGGTTCTGTGAACTTACACATGACCCGTAATTGCACACTTTGTTTCCTTGTTCGCATAATGAGAATGAGAAATTATTTTCTTGGGGTTCATAAGAATTATATGAGGAAACAGATATAAAGTGATAAGTACAGTGTGTGATCCATAGAAAATGTTCACTAATTGGTAGCTATTATCATTATCAGAGAGAGGCCATGGTATCTGTTACCCTTACCCCTGGGATGCTGACCCTCCACACCTTTAAACTATGTTATACTTTCAACTTGCCTATACTTGGTCCTCTACCAGTATTCTAGTGTATTCACTGCTGGGACTGCTATTTCAAATTTTAGACTTTGCTCATATCTTTAGGAGATGTTCTTTATTTTATCTATACTGTCCTAGTCCTACTAATAGTATAAATTTCCTTTTAAGAGTATCAATATTTAAAACCTATAAACATACATCCCTGTCCTTTTTATGAATACAGGGGTTATCAATTAAACCCACTGAGAGGTACAAGATGCATTTGGATCACATTACTTTGGGAGTATATGACCTTATTACATCATCTCAGTTATTCAATAATTTAATCTGAGTTAAATTTCAGAGCTACTTAAGGCTATTCTTAATTTTAGATAAATAAATGAGTATCAGTCTCCTTTCAGGGTATCTTTTATCTAACAATGTCTTTCACTTTAGTAATTTTCAATGTTGTGAAAGTTCTACACAGCACAATACAGCATAATTTTTATTGATTTCTACAGTGAATCAATGTGTACATATAATGGGCATAACCTATGTTTACAGTGATAGATGCACCAGACAGAGGAAATTTCTTATGCAATTATCAATTCCAGAAGGAAATTCCATGTGGGCTTTGTAAATTTTGCCCTTTAGAAAAATCTGATAAAGCATAATCCAGGTTTTGAATTTCTATCTATCATCTATCTAAAAGTTCATGAGGTTGGTTTCACTCTTTTATCATAGAGAAAATATTAATGGCATGGGGTGTAGCTTTCCTATGGAACACATAATTTATAACATACCTTTTGCAGAATCACATTTGTATGACCATTTCTATTCCACATAAAAGAACCAGAATGACATGTCATCATTCCCCCATATAAATCTGCCTTCACACTGAAGATGATGTTAGGGCCATTCTTGCCTACTTCATTCCATCTCTTCTACCCAATCCCTTCAAACGAGTCACATTTTGTGTCTTTTGGGATATTTGTGTTCAGTTGTTGGGTGAGAAACAAAGAGAAAACACCTGCACTTTATTGGTTTTATTTAAATACTCTTTTAGCAAGAAGCATTCCTATACATCTGACATCTGAAATACTCTGCCAAGAATGTTATATACACCTATATAATTACTTTGATATTAAGAATGATAAAAATTCACTTATTGACTAACATGACTATATTCTAAACAGTGAAATTAAAGTCATATTCCTTGTATATTACCTTAATTCCATGTAAGATTTCATTGAGTAGTTTTATCTGTTTATCTTTGTTCTTCGTTTGGCTTTTCTATTTAAGGGGAAAAAAATGAAGGCATATTTGACAAAGGTTGTTAATAATTTAACTTACACGGCCACAGCTATTTTTCAAAATACAGCCTATTCTCTCCATTTTACCCCATTTTAATAGAAGATGGAGTAAAATTCCCCAAACTCTATCAATTATTTACATATATAATACATATATATTATAAGAGAAGTATCACAGGAATAAAAATAAACGTTTGTATATTGAAGTACACTATCCTGAGTGTTAATACTTGTGATTAAAATGTATATTTTCAAATACTGACTTTTTTGGCAAATCTTATGTAATTACTGTATATTTATTCAAATATTTAACATTTATATTATTTTATACTTATCATTGCTTGGGTATTGCTTCTTAAGGATTTCTTCCAAAAATAGTCATAATTATGATTTAAATAATAATAAGTACAATATTTGTATATCTAACAAAGGACACATTTACAAGTTAACATTCAAAAAAAAAACAAGTTAACATTCATAATACTGTTTGTGCGATTAAAGGCATATTTTCTGCTTAGCATATTTGTCCATAATATTGCAGTCTCTTTGAAAGTTTTAGGGCCCTATATTAAGGTCCCCAAATCTATTTCCATTCCTAAATATTTGAATTTAAATTACTTAAAATACAGAATTTTTTAAAAAGCTAGTTTAAAAGTATTTATTAAAATTATAAACAAGCTTGTTATTCTAAATACTAGTGTGTTAATAATTCATAATTATTTCATAGTTATATGGTATATTCTAGTCTCACCTTTAAAGACTAGTCATCTTTTTGGTAATTGGTGATTATTTTGGTAATTATTTGGTAATTTGAATTTTAAAAATTCAGAAAATATAAAAGAAGGCCTAAACCTTCATCACTTAAATGTACTAAAGTAGGGGCACCTGGGTGGCTCAGTCATTAAGCGTCTGCCTTCAGCTTAGGTCATGATCCCAGGGTCCTGGGATCGAGCCCCACATCGGGTTCCCTGCTCCGCGGGAAGCCCGCTTCTCCCTCTCCTGCTCCCCCTGCTTGTGTTCCCTCTCTCGCTGTGTCTCTCTGTGTCAAATTAATAAATAAAATCTTTAAAAAAAAATGTATTAAAGTAATAAGTGAAAAATCTTCCCTCTTTCCATCTAATTCTACTTTACAGGTAATCTTTTTTTTTTTTTTTCTTAAATGTAGGCTCCACGCTGAGTGTGGGGTTGAACTCACGACCCTGAGATCCAGGTCTGAGCTGAGATCAGGAGCTGACGACCTAACTGACCGAGCCACCCAGGCGCCCTTATAGGTAACAATTCTTAAAAGACTGGTGCTTTATCTCTAGATTATTTCTATGCTTATACAAGTCCATTTATATCTATATCTACATAACTTCATTTATGCCTCTCTATCACACCCACGTGCATTGGTATATTCACATTTTCAAAACTGGATTAAGGATATTTATGTACATATATGCATAATATACACATGTACATACATACATGTTTCTTTCTTTTTTCCCCTAACATATGATCGACATATTTCCATGTCCATACATAGATATTATTGCATACATAGATATTATTAATCTTTGATCCGTTTAAAATAATAAAGTAAGTGTCATAAGCAATACATCTGCACCTGTGTGGTTACTTTAACACGTGAAATCATTTGTCTCCCCCTTGACAGCGCACGTGGCTTTTCAGTGCAATGAACTGTGTCCCGTCTCTCCATTCCTACAGTACGGCATAGTGCACACTGTCTGGTACATGTCAGATGTCAAAAAACGTATTGACAGTAAGATGAATGACTGAATGTAAAGGAAGAATATTTAAATGAATTCAGTTAAGCACTTAACTATCTACTTACTATATGCAGTCACATCTCGCTCAATGTAGCCCATTCTTCAGACAAAATGAGTATACCCTTACCTCCAGGCTGTGTGCACACTGTTTCTTCTGCTTAGTAACTCTTTTTCTCAGACATCCACATGGATTTCCTCCCTTACCCTGCTGATGTATTGTTTCTTTCCTGAGGACTTTACTGTCCCTGTATGTGAAATGGCGCTCATTGTTACTCTATCACCCTAGCCTAAGTTATATTTCTTTGTATACAAATTAACACCAGGCATTATGTTCTTTATTTATTTCTTAATGCCTGTCTCCTCTAATGAAAGCTGGAACTTATCAGTTCTCCTCATTGCTGTACTTTGACACAGAACAGATGTCCAATCAATACTGGTTGAATGAATGAATGAATGATAAATCTGGATTATTTCCACATGTACAGAATTAACTAGATGGTTATTGTCAACTCCAGTCAGAAAATTCAGCTTCTGTTTGACATATGTAACATGAGGCAGTCTTTTTCTTACCTTTAGCTTTTTTACTCTAGTTGCAACTAAGGCATTTATCGGTATAACAAACACAAGGACTGCTACCCCTGCTAACACAGCTGGACCCAGCTCTTGCCAAAGAAGTGATATGGCCATCAGGATCTGAAAAGGGGCTGACCAGAGGAGATTGAGGTTTGCTGTCAAGTCCATGAGCTGCTGGGCATCCGCTGACATCAAGTTAATAACTTCCCCAGTTGAAAACCTCTTTCGAGAAACATTAGATACAAGTAGGGCCTGAAAAAAGAGAGGCAAAATATTTAAAGAGTTCTGTAGATCACGGGGCATCTTTATCGTCAAACAATGGTAACTTTTAATATCAATTTTCAATACATATTTAGGAACATCTACAAGATTCTTTATGTGTTAGGATTATGAAATACTGAAACTTTTAAAAATGTTTTTAGATGAAGAAAAATACAATTACTGATCAAAACATATAGTTTTAAACTTCACTGCATATTGGTAGAGAGTAACATTTGTATTCCCAAGCAAATATATTCACCAAAAACCCTCTACAAGTTGTCGATTACAAAATTGCAAAAAGAAATCTATTCTAGGGGCACCTAGCTGGCTCAGTCAGGAGAGGATGTGATTCTTGATCTCCAGGTCATGAATTCAAGCCCCACATTGGGCACAGAACTCACACACACAAAAATATCTACTCTAGATTTCTAGCATTGAGGATTCCCTCTATTCGTTGGCACCCCTATAATGCTAAACCATCTAAATTTTATCAATACAAAGTACATAAATGATTCAATAAATATCTAATGAATACCGATGCTATGTACTATGCTTGAAACTAGAAAATTTAAAAATGACATTGTCCCAATTCTCAAGAAGTTATAATTTGGTTGTGGAGTCCACCCCCCCACCCACCCACATATACCTCCCACACAGGATGATTGTAAGCATAAAAATAGTTAAGAAGGGCCATGGGAATTTAGAGAGATAAAAATACTGGAAAGGCTTCTTGGAGCAGATGGAAATATATCTTTTCTTCCAAAGCCCAATTCTCACTTTCTGTGCATAATTATTTTAATATTTGTATATTGAATTCAATATTCCGAAGCTTAATTATTGGTAACTCTTACTAAGGTTGATCTCAGAAATTCATTTATTAAATTCTCCACCCATTTAAAATTCCCAGTGAAATGCATAAATAAATTGTCAAAGGAGTGGAGAATTGGTATGTGTATTGGAAGCCAGGCAAAAGTCCGTTCATATGCCAAGAATTTTAAGGAATTTCCACTACGCTGATTTAAAGAGACAGGATAGATGGGGTGCCTGGGTGGCTCAGTCCGTTAAGCGGCTGCCTTCAGCTCAGGTCATGATCCTGGGGTCTTGGGATCGAGCCCCACATCTGGCTCCCTGCTCAGCGGAGAGCCTATTTCTCCCTCTCCATCTGCCTGCCACTCTGCCTACTTGTGCTCTCTCTCTCTCTCTCTCTGTCAAATAAATAAATACAATCTTAAAAACAAAACAAAACAAAACAAATAAAGAGACAGGATAGAGAGGTGGAACTAGCAAGAGTAAATGTTTTTTCAATAAATGGATAATACAAAGTCCCACCCCCACCCCCCAATAAAAGGCTCATGTGGAAAATAAGTAGTCAGGAGCTTCAGTGGCCCTCTTCTAACATTCCGAAGCTTAAAGCAGGAGGGCTTCATGCAAAGGGGGAGGCCACGGGGCCCACCGGAGGGACTGCTCAGCACTAGGAGGTTCACAAGGTGCCAGGATCCCCCAAGCTCTATGGCTACTGCAGTGTTCAATCCTCATTTAAATTTCTATGCAGTAAATTGGAAACATTTCTGTTACTGACTAGTAAGGGGGGACAGTTGTGTTGATGATAAAACAGAATGACCACTACTGCCACAAGAGAGAAAAAAAGGAAAAAATACTAGTCACTATGACAATGAAGCTTTAGCCATGTCTCCTCCAAAGGTAGCTCTTTAATCTCCTCCTGATATGTTACTGACCACCTAATGCAGCCAAGTGAAACAATGGAAATCCAAGCACAGGAACTCTCATTTCATTAAGTCTCTAATATTTCTTCAGAGAGGTCCATTGATCTCTAATAGAATCCACCAGCAACTTATAATTATAAACAAATATATTTCCTCTCATACTTCTAGAAGGAAAAGATAAATAGTATTTAGTATTTATGAAAATACTAGCAGATTGAAGAGTTCAAAGTAGCTAAATTAGCCAAGGAATCAAATGAATGACCTCCTATTGGAAAAAACATATCACAAGAAACATGAAAAATATATGAATATCTCTTTGTAATCTTTATAGTGAAAGAACATGATATCCATTAAAAATGAGTAAGAATAGAAAAATTACTTCAAATTGAAAGCACAACTGTCAAATTTTTAAAAATGTAATGGAGGCACCAAAAATCCAAATGGATATTAGAACAAATGGAATTCTTAAACTATGAGTAGATATGTTCAAAAACTTTTCCCAGAAATTAGAGAAAACATATTTTCAAAGAGATTTTATTTATTTGCCAGAGAGAGAGAGAGGGAGAGTACAAGCAGGGGGAGTGGCAGGAAGAGGGAGTGGGACTCGATCGCAGGACCCTGAGATCATGACCTGAGCTGAAGGCAGACGCTTAACCATCTGAGCCACCCAGGGGCCCCGAGAAAACATATTTTTAAAATGAAATGACTTTTTTTTTTAAGATTTTATTTATTATTCAACAGAGAGAGAGAGACAGCGAGAGAGGCAACACAAGCAGGGGGAGTGGGAGAGGGAGAAGCAGGCTTCCCGCTGAGCGGGGAGCCCAATGCGGGACTCGATCCCAGGACCCTGGGATCATGACCTGAGCTGAAGGCAGACGCTTAACGACTGAGCCACCCAGGTGCCCAAAATGAAATAACTTTTTAAAAAAGACTTAAAGCATGGAGAAATTTCAGGAAATCACACAAACACACACACACACACACACACACACACAAGATATAAATATATATTCAGGTTGTCAATTTCTTCCTGCTGATCTATAAAGAACTTCTCAAATTCCAACACCCAAAAAACAAATAATCAAGTCAAAAAATGGGCAGAAGACATAAACAGACACTTCTCCAAAGAAGACATACAAATGGCTAACAGACACATGAAAAAATGTTCAACATCATTAGTCATCAGGGAAATTCAAATCAAAACCACATTGAGATACCACTTTACAGCAGTTAAAATGGTTAAATTGACAAGGCAAGAAACAACAAATGTTGGAGAGGTTATGGAGAAAGGGGAACCCTCTTACACTGTTGGTGGGAATGCAAGTTGGTATAGCCACTTTGGAAAACAGTGTGGAGGTGCCTCAAAAAATTAAAAATAGTGCTACCCTATGACCCAGCAATTGCATTACTGGGTATTTACCCCAAAGATACAGATGTAGTGAAAAGAAGGGCCATATACACCCCAACGTTCATAGCAGCAATGTCCACAATAGCCAAACTGTGGAAGGAGCCGAGATGCCCTTCAACAGATGAATGTATAAAGAAGATGTGGTCCATATATACAATAGAATATTACTCAGCCATCAGAAAGGATGAATACCCAACTTTTACACCAACATGGATGGGACTGGAGGAGATTATGCTAAGTGAAATAAGTCAAGCAGAGAAAGTCAATTATCATATGGTTTTACTTATTTGTGGAACATAAGGAATAGCAGGAGGACATTAGGAGAAGGAAGGGAAAAATGAAGGGGGGGAAATCGGAGGAGGAGACGAACCATGAGAGACTATGGACTTCGAGAAACAAACTGAGGGTTTTAGAGGGAAGGGGGGTGGGGGGATGGATGAGTCCGGTGATGGATATTAAGGAGGGCATGTATTGCATGGAGCACGGGGTGTTATACGCTAACAATGAATCATGGATCACTACATCAAAAACTAATGATGTACTGTATGGTGACTAACATAACATAATAAAAAATTTTCTAAAAAGACATAAATGTATACACATGTATATATTGCATAAACATATTATATTAATATAAATATTAATATATTTACATTTATATTTCTTTATAAATTCAGAGTAATGAATAACACAACTTCTAGAGTGGAATGCCTGGGTTCCAGGGCCAGCTACTCTGTTTCATAACTCTTTGACTATGGGTAAGTTACTCATTGTTCTGAATTTAAGTTTCCTTATATTATATGTACACACACACACACACACACACACACACACATTATATCTACAGCTGATTGTATATCTATTTCTATGCACATAATAGTGCTTAAAACAGCAACAGAGTGCAACAGATATGTTAATAGGTGCTTATTATATATGTGTATTATAAATGTGTTTATTACATATGTGTATTATATATACAGATAAAACATAACACAACACACACACATACACACACACACAAAACACAACACACAACACAATTACTTTACAAGCAAAGAATGAGAAGAAATAATTAAAGAAAAAATTAGAAGACAATCTCTCTGAATGAAGGAAAGATTTCAAACCAAAAGCAGTTAGGAAGTAGCAGTCTAATTAGAAAACAGTATACCTCCTCTTACCGTGGTGAAATCTGTAAATTCTATAATGTTAAAATTATCCTTAAAAAGAAATACTTACAAGCACCCAAACACAGAAAAATCAAAACAAAACAGGTTATCCTAAAATGGTGGGGTAAGAGGTGGGGGTTGGGAGTAGCTTTACCTGTCATACCAACTTTCAGAAGACAATGTTGCAATGGTTATAAAGAATGTGTGGAAAAGGTACTTTGATATGTATTGAGTGAACCATACATATTATTGAGTGAACCATATATATTAATGAGTGAAGATGGTAAGCAAGGTGGAAAGCAAAATAGGGAAAAAAAATGACAATAATAGGAAAAGAGTTTAATATATATATGGAAGTTTCTGCTATGTATTTATTTAAATTTATGCTTATATGTAAGAATGTACTTAAAAACAAAATCAAACAGATTGTTTTTTTAAGATTTTATTTATTTATTTGAGAAAGAGAGAAAGAGCATAAGCATGGGCAGGGGGAGGGGCAGAGGGAGAAGCAGATTCCGTGCTGAACAGGGAGCAAGATCATGACCTGAGCAAAGGCAGGTGCTTAACAGACGGAGCCACCCATGCGCTCCCCTCAAACAGATTAAATACAAAAAAAGAATCATAAAGAAATCATATAACAATGTATTTTGTCAATATGTTTGGTCATGATATATTATGAAGTAAATAATAGAT